CTTCTTATAGCATATATATTACGCCGTACCGCGGGCCTATTAAAATTATAGCTTATTTTAAAAATTTATAAGCGTAAGTAAGTAATTATACCGATCCCCGTTCTTCTTAAGTAAAATATACTAATAATACTTTTATATAACGCTATTTATAACGCTTATACTATACCGTAGGGCCGCGTTACCCTATATTACTTTTTAACTTTTATAAACCTCTACTTTTTATTATTACCTATTATTTTATAACGCCTATATTTATTTACTCTATTATTTTTAAGTACCGGGGCCGCTATTATATTACTAAGCGGGCTACCTAACTACGTAGTAACGCTAGGTCTCTAAACCCTTATAACCTTTAGCTTTTAAATTTATTATTACCTATTATGCCCGAAGCGATTACTTCTAGAGCTATTATTTCTAAAGCTATTATTTCTAAATCCGTAGCCCCTAAAACTATAGCCTCTAAAAAGCTATTATTTTTAAAATAGTCGCTTCTAAAACTATAGCCTCTAAAGCTATTATTTTTAAAGAGCTATTACTTTTATAATAATCGCTTCTAGAGCTATAGTTTCTAAAACTATTATTTTTAGAGAGCTATTATTTTTATAATAGTCGCTTCTAGAGCTATAGCTTTTAAAACTATTACTTTTAGAAGGCTATTATTTTTAAAGTAGTTATTTCTAAAGCTATAGCCTCTAAAGCTATAGCTTTTAGAGGGCTATTATTTTTAAAATAGTCGCTTTTAAAGCTATAGCCTCTAAAGTTATAGCTTCTAGAGCTATAGTTTTTAGGGCTATAGCTTATATAGTACTTCTATATTTTTAAAGTACGTCGAGCCTTTTAAAGTAGTAAAAAAGAGGGGCGCGTTTTAGTAACGATAATAATACTAAGGTATAGCTACTACGCCCTAGAGCCCGTAAAGATACTTAATTATACCCTATTACTCTTAGAGAGAGCTATTATATTATAATAAGTAAGCGTTATAGTTTTGTATTTACTTATAGTACCCGTATATAATAGCCTAGGCCCGGTCTATATAGGCCCCTTAGCCTAGGTCTAGACTCTTAACGGACCTTAGCCGAGGGGCCCGGACCGGTATTTTAATATAATTACGGGGTACCTAAGGCGCTAGCGTTTATAATATTACCTTATTATAATACGGTTATTAAAAAGTAGTTACGGTAGTAATAAGTATATTCGTAGCTTCTTAGCTAGCTAAGGGGGAGGGTATTTATACTAAATCGTATTAAGAGCTTTACCCGCCCATACTACGCTAACACTAGCTACCGGGGGGGGGCTTATTATTAATATTATTAGCCTAAATTATATTTTAAAAAAATAGAGCCCCGAGCCGCCTCTTTATTATTTTTATTAGTCCTTATACTTTTTAAATATAGTATACTAATACTTTCGAATAGTGCTATTTATAATACTTATATTACGCCGTACTTACTAAAGTTATAGCGTATTTCGATTATTTATAAACTAAAATAAGTAATTATACTAGGCCCCGTTACTTTTTAATATAATATATTAACGCTCTTATATAGCGCCGCTCTTTACGGTGCTTATATTTTATTATACCTCGAGCTTATTAAAATTATAGTATACTTTAGTTATTTATAAACTAAGGTAAGCTACTATACTAAGCCCCGTTACCCTCTAATATAATATACTAATACTTTTATATAGCGCGCTATTCTTATTAGTACTTATACTGCGCCGTACTTATTATACTTCGGGTTAGTATTTATAAAGTATTATAGAGCTTTTTAAAATAGTATATATTCTATATTAAAAGAGCTTTTACTACGCTACCTAAAGGCTTTAGTTATTACGCTCTAATTTTTAATTATAGTACTTAAAAGCTTTAGTTATAGCCCTAGGGCTTTAATTATAGTACTTAACTACTTCGGCTATAACGCTTAGCCTATAGCTATAATACCTATAGCCTTTAATTTTTAACTATAGTACTTAACTTTTTATTTTTAGTTATAATACTTACGAGCTTCGGCTATAGCCCTACTATACCTTTAGCTATAGTATTTAACTTTCTATCTTTAACTATAGCCCCCTATTATACTTTTAGTAACTACGTAACTAAAAACCTTTAGCTATAGTACTTAACTTTTTATTTTTAGTTATAGTACTTATAAGCTTTAGCTATAGGCCTATTATATTTTTAGCTACGTAGCTAAAAACCTTTAGTTATAATACTTAACCCCTGCTCGACTTTTTATTATAACGCCCTATAACTTTTAGTTATATAGTTAATTAAGAACTTTTAGTTACGGCGCGCTATATAACTAAAACTAAAAACTTTTAATTACGGCTATAGTGCGCTATATAATTAGAATTAAAAACTTTTAGCTATAGCTATAACGCTTAACTTTTTATTTTTAATTATAGTACCTATAAGCTTTAGCTATAAGCTTATTATATTTTTAGCTATATAGCTAAAGTATTTAGCTACGGTTATAGTACTAAACTTTTTATTTTTAGCTATAATATTTACGGGCTTTAGTTATAAGCTTATTATATTTTTAGTTACGTAACTAAAAACCTTTAGCTATAGGCTTATTATATTTTTAGCTACGTAATTAAAAACTTTTAGTTATAGTGCTTAATTATATAACTTTTTATTATAGCGCCCTATAACTTTTTATTATATAGCTAGAGTTTTAATTATAAACTTATTATAGACCTTTAGCCCGCATAGCTTAGAACTAAAACCTAACTTTTAACTACGGTACTTCTGAGCTCGGACTACTACTACCCCCGCTCCCGCCCCTAGCTACTTACTAATTAGCTTTAGCTACCCCATAACTTTTAGCCGCGCCGCGTATTAAGCTAAGGATTATTAAAATTTTAATTAATTTTTTTATTCATAACTTAATATATAAAAGAATTTATAAATACTAAATTCTTTCGTTTACGACCTAGCGAATAAAAGAATTTTAAAATTTTAGTTAATTTAAGATTTTAATTAATTCTTTCGTTAGCGACTTAGTAAATAAAAGAATTTCGAGATTTTAGTTAATTCTTTTATTTACGACTTAGCAAATAAAAAGATTTCGAGATTTTAGTTAATTCTTTTATTTACGACCTAGCGTACAAAAAAATTTATAAGTACTCGATTCTTTTATTAATAACTTAGCGAATAAAAGAATTTATAAGTACTAGATTCTTTTATTTACGACCTAGCGAATAAAAGAATTTTAAAATTTTAATTAATTTAAAATTTTAGTTAATTTAAGATTTTAGTTAATTCTTTTGTTTGCGACTTAGCGTATAAAAGAATTTATAAGTACTTAATTCTTTCGTTCGTAACCTAGTATATAAAAGAATTTATAAGTACTAAATTCTTTCGTTAGTAACTTAGCGAACGAAAAAATTTCGAGATTTTAATTAATTCTTTCGTTTACGACCTAGCGAATAAAAGAATTTCGAGATTTTAGTTAATTTTTTTATTTACGACCTAGTATATAAAAGAATTTATAAATACTCAATTCTTTCGTTCGCAACCTAGCGTATAAAAGAATTTATAAGTACTAAATTCTTTCGTTAGCAACTTAGCAAATAAAAAAATTTCGAGATTTTAGTTAATTCTTTCGTTCGCAACTTAGTAAACGAAAGAATTTTAAAATTTTAGTTAATTCTTTTGTTCGTAACTTAGCGAGTAAAAAAATTTCGAAATTTTAGTTAATTCTTTTATTTATAACTTAGTATATAAAAGAATTTATAAGTACTCGATTCTTTTATTAGCAACTTAGTAAATAAAAGAATTTTAAAATTTTAGTTAATTCTTTTATTTACGACCTAGCGAACGAAAGAATTTTAAGATTTTAGTTAATTCTTTTATTCGCGACTTAGCGTATAAAAAAATTTATAAGTACTCGATTTTTTCATTAGTAACTTAGTAAATAAAAAAATTTATAAGTACTTAATTCTTTTATTTATTATATAGCACATAAAAGAATTTATAAGTATTTAATTCTTTTATTAGCGACCTAGCGAACGAAAGAATTTATAAGTACTTAATTCTTTTATTTACTATATAGCGAACGAAAGAATTTATAAGTACTCAATTCTTTTATTTATTATATAGCGCACGAAAGAATTTTAAGATTTTAGTTAACTTAAGATTTTAGTTAATTCTTTTATTTGCGACCTAGCGTATAAAAAAATTTATAAATACTAGATTCTTTTATTAGCGACCTAGCGAACAAAAGAATTTCGAGATTTTAATTAATTCTTTTATTTATAACTTAATATATAAAAAAATTTATAAGTACTTAATTCTTTTGTTCGCAACCTAATATATAAAAAAATTTATAAATACTTAATTCTTTTATTTACTATATAATAAGTAAAAGAATTTATAAGTACTCGATTCTTTCGTTTATTACATAGCGCACGAAAGAATTTTAAGATTTTAGTTAATTTTTTTAGTTATTACTTATTAAATAAAAGATCTTTTAGGCATTACTTATTAAATAAAAGAATTTCTCAAGTTTTATTTAATTTTTTTTAGTGATTACTTAATAGCTTAAAGAATTCCGTAAACTTATTTACTTATTTTTATTTATATTAAATTATTTAAAAAACTTTTTTTTATTTATATTAGGCGGCCATAGTGGTAAAGTAATATTAGGCGGCTATAGTAATAAAATAATATTAAGTAGCTACGGTAGTAAAGTAATATTAAGTAGCTACGGTAGTAAAGTAATATTTAGTAACTACGGTAGTAAAATAATATTATATTTTATAATTAAAAAAAAATAATATATATATATATATTAAAAGTAATAACTAAGTAGTTATAATATAGTAATACTTTTATTAATTTCTCGCTTTTTTAAAATATACTTTATTTTTAAGTAAAAAGTATACGAAATTCTTAAAAATTCCTAAACCTAAGCCCATTTAGCCTACTTAATACGCATACATCATATACCAGTAAGCTAATCGCCCCGTAGGTTGGCAACACTAAGAATTATATAATGAGCGATTATAAGTATAACATCAGTCAGGCCCAGCATGCGCACATTAATAGGTTCGCTCTCAACATAGCGCGAGACGAGGCCATCAACGTTAAAAGCGTTGAGAACATGTTTAGCGCTACAGAGGCTGTTGGCTTCAAACTATTCTTCTCTTTCGACTACGCCGGTCAAGGCCCGTGGGATAAGGAGGATGTCATCGCTATGCTAGACATTTATGCCAATAGCCCGTCATACTTCCGACACTCAACTGGTCAGCCTCTAGTATCGACTTTCGAGGGCCCAAAGCAGTCAGATAACTAGGTCGAGATCAAGCAGCGAACTGGAGCCTTCTTCATGCCTTCTTAGTCATCCCTCGGCGCAAAGCGGGCCATAAAGAAGGGCACGGCCGACGGGCTCTTCAGCTAGGGTGCTTGGCCGGAGGGACCCAACGCTATCAGTAAGGAGATTGATGCCTCCTATGTCGACTTTCTCAGAAAAGATGCTAGCGGCAAACCCAGGCCTTATATAATGCCCGTTTCGCCTTAGTTCTACACCAACCTGCCCGGTTACAAGAAGAACTGGCTCTGGCGCGGCGACAGCCTCTGGTTTAACCGTTGGAATCATGTGTAGGATATGGAGCCAGAGTATATCCAGATCATTTCGTGGAATAACTACGGCGAATCGCACCACATCGGCCCGGTTAACGAAAGAGCTATAATCGCCTTCGAAACAGGCGAAGCACCTTTCAACTACGCTCTCGGACTGCCCCACGACGCTTAGCGAATGTTTCTGCCATTCGTCATTAACACCTACAAGGCTGGAAAGACCTCATTCACTAGAGAGGGCCTTACCATCTAGTACCGTAGGAACCCTAGTCGTGCTTGTAGCAATGGCAGCACAGTTAGCAACACCGCGGCCCAGGTTCAGGAGGAAGGAGACCCGGCTGATTTCGCCGAGGACAAGATTTTTTTCACGGCACTTCTCTCCGAGTTCGCCCTCCCACGAGTCAAAGTTGGCAACGGAGAGTGGACAAATGTGATGTGGTAACCTAGTCCTAGTGGTACACAAGCATGGGATATTACATTTCAAAAGCATAACAGAACGAACCTACGGTCTACTAACTTCAATCTACGCATCAAGGGCATTCAAAAGCAAATCGCCGCAATCGTAGTCGATCAACTATTAAAGTTCGTCGTTTCTAAAACACTTAGTGCAAAGCGACCGGGTACATCATGCTGTCTACATTTAAGACATTGAGGAATTAGTGGCTAATAGAGGAGATTTTCACAGATTAAGAATGAAATAGAGCCTGATATTTTGAGTTTGCTGTCGGGATGTTTTGACTGTGTACTAATGCCAGAACTATTACCCAAATCTTCTAATAACTATCAAAGTGAGGTCTCTGAAGTCTTGACCCATTCTTGCTTTGTCAAATAGAGCTTGAGATGATCTAAGATTGTCTCTTCAACCTCGGTATCATAGAAATCCTCGATTCTACTAATGAGACAAATATCATCGGAGGTAACCAGATTGACAACGACGCCATTTCGGCCGGAACGACCGCCACGACCGACACGATGTATGTAATTCTCACAATTCGCATGCAGATCATAATTAACAACCAGAGGAATCTGCTGAACATCTATACCACGGGCAAGAAGCTCAGTGGCAATCAATAACCCAGCAGAAGTAGAGCGAAATTCCTCCATAATTACAGCACGTTCAAATGCTGGCAAATCCCCATGCATAGCGAAGAAGGGGAGCTTAAGAGCATCCAGCTTCTCCACGAGCCATTCAGTCTTTTTGCGCGTATTGCAGAAAGTGATTGTCTGAAACGCCGGTACGCTTGTGTACAGATCGAGAAAGGCCTTGAGCTTATACTCTTCCTTCTCGACATTAACGTAGAATTGCTGGATGCCTTCGAGGCGGAATCCCTTCTTCTTGATATAAATATGATGGAGATCATGCATCAATATACCGGTGGCTTCGAGAAGGTCTTGCGGCATCGTAGCAGAGGTACAAACAACCTGGGTCGGGTGCGAAAGAAGTTGGGGAATATCGTAGATATGATCCGCGAAACCACGCTGGGAGGCTTCAGTCAGTGACAATTACAAGAGGTTTTGGAACATTGTCTTAACGCTTACAGCAAAGATCTCATCGGCGTCGTCAAGGACGATCAGCTCTATGTTCGCCGTCTTGAGGATACTACGCTGTATTAAATCCCTAAGGCGGCCAGGTGTTCCAACCACAACGTGAGGGGCATCTTGGAAGACCTTCTCATAGTCAAGCATGCTGACTCCGCCAACACAGGCATGACACCGGATATTCATGAAGTCGCTGATAGCGACTATGAGCTCCTGAGTCTTGAAAGCTGACTCGCGGGTAGGAACGAAAATCAGAGCCTGGCAGGCTTTCAAATCAGCTCTTACTTTCTGAAGAACGGGAATAACGCAAGTAACCGTCTTCCCAGCACCGTAAGAGGATTCGGCAATCACATCGTGACCATTGATGATAGGCATAATGGCACACTGCTGGATAGACGAAGGGCGCTCAAAACCATACGCGTATACTGGAGAGGTATCTCATTTAGCGGCTAGGCGCAGCACAATTCTCTCAATGTATCACGAGCACTTACCACCACGAAGAAGCTCAGACTTGAGATTCATATCATCAAAGGCAACAGCCTTGACGTGTTCAGACTCCGTGTAGTCTGTATTACATAGGTTAGCACTTGAGACATTTTTTAAGAGATATCTGAACCCTAGGTAAACAAGGTTATACCTCCGTCAGAATGATAGTGTAAAGAGTGATTTGATGCCGCGAGTACTACAGTTCGCCATCCGTATCTCACACCATAGTACATAACCTGACTTGGACAGGAATGGAAAAGCCTACCATCGGGATCATTCTCGAAGTCCGTGTTTAAAGCCATTGTATTCAGAGTAGCCAGGCAAGGTTCTCTTTGGCCCTTAAAAATGCGGGCCAAGCTGACTTCAATTCAGACTTGTGGAAGAGAGAAAAAATGAATGAAATTAGAGGATTGGAAAGGATTAGGAATGTTTAAAGATGAGCCGGAACAATGGAGCTCCGGTCGACTGTTAGCCGCTAGACTCGACGCGATTGGTACTGGCGCTTATGTCACTTTAGCGGCTATCACATCCAATAATCCAGCACAGCCACCAAAGCTAGGCAGCCATCCACTAAATCCGCTTCAATCTGGCGGGGTTAATTACTGGATTTCGTTGTGGCGCTTTTATATTAAGGCTATCGCCTAGATAGCTCTAGTCTGTATCCCGGAGGAACTATTCTGACGTTTCTTTCTCTAGCCCTTACGAGTCGGTTCAACGTCAAGCTCCGTCTCGTTTATTTATCGAGTGTTGATAGAGAAAGCGGTTTGAAAGACATATTAATACCGCTGCCGCGAAAGTGCATCTTCTGGAGTTCTCGATGCCGTAGAGACATAATAGCGGATAGAGATTAGAACAGATCTAAACTTAAATGATGACGATAGAGTAGGCGACGATAGCAGTGAGAAAGAATCCAGCTGGTCCCGAAACATTTCATCTAGCCTCTCGACGTAGTCACATCACAGGAAGGATGTGTCGTCTCAATGACGTCGAATGTAGCTCACAGACTCTACGAGGCGCGAGTTTGGCCTAGCTATATCTACAAGAAATGTGTATACCGGCAGTAACTTTCATCTCATGGATCAACGCTGCTCGGGGAGGATACCGACCTTATATAACAATAGCAAGAAGAAAGCTTCGATCGGTTGGCCGACAGATTCGGTAAGCAAATACGAGACGACGTCTTCACGCCTAAGCAATTCCAGGTAGTCATTCTCAAGTACTGAAGTGCTACTAAATCAGCCGTTAACGATATTACTAAATAGTTGTCGAGGAGAATGCCATCATGGGCGAGCGCCAGCGACAAAAGAAAGCGGAGTTAGCGAAGAAGGCTAAGAGAAATAAAGCCCTGTAGATAAAGGCGCTTAAAGCCTTCCCTTCATGCCCAGAAAACGACGCACCTGACTAGGATGTCACTGAGGCTAAACAACGGAACAGGTTTCCCAGGCGGCACAGTCGACAAAAAAAGAAACCAATCACGAGGGGCTAATGAGCGACCAGGGTCAGTCGGAACAGACGAGCTCTCCAATTTTTAAAAAAGGCGGCAAACAAGAAGGCAGTCAATAGTTTTAACGGGTCGAAAGCATCGTAAAAAAGAAACCGATACGAATATATCAAGTCTTCGTTGAGTACGGCGTTCAATGTTAAGCTTTAGGTAGACTCGCCACATATTGTCATACCTCGTTCGGTGTTTAGCGACCGCAAATCCCCCTCAAATACCAATTCGATCTGCATTTAGCCCCCCGACATAACAATTTCCGGGCCTACGTAGGATTTTCGCCAAGCATGCAACGGTTCGATTAAAGAGAGTAACTGATGCGGCACAGCGGGGGGTTAACGCGGGGTCTGACCTCAGTAAGCACTAAGCATGGCGTGTTTGTCGCGAGACCGTGTGTGGTGTTTTACTGCTGTGTTTTTCCTTCAAAAGTTTTCATCACCTATTTCATTTTGTGAAATTAGAGAAAGTCAATCGCCTGGCCGTGGGGTTGTCTTATCTCATCGCTGCTTGTGTCTATCAGGGTGTCTATTTCTACGACCTTCCTCACATTCGTTTTTCTGTTGAGCCAAATCACTCGCTTTGCAATCAACTCTCGTTGTCGTTGGATCTCTTGTGACCAGCTTTTGTGCTTAATCACAATTAATCACAGAATGACTCCGTCCTATGTGTCCGCGTTCGCGGGTGCCCTTCTCCTCCTTGGCAGACTCCCTGGCTCGGCCGCCGAATTCAAGACCAGCTCTCGCGATGAGATTGTCGCATCTTCCAACAAGCTTGCCAAAGACTTATTCACCGTCTACGAGGGCGATCAGCCTGGCAAAATCCCCGGCATTCTCCCGGGGCCTCCCACCCCGAGCTCGGGCGGCTACTACTGGTATCACGGCGCCAGCTTCTTCCAGACCTACGTCGACTACCAGCACCTGACCGGCGACGACTCCTTCCAAGACAGCATCGTGAAGGCCTTAGCCTTCCAACTAGGCCCCGATGCCAACTATATGCCTCCTAACTGGACCGCCTCAATGGGGAATGACGATCAGTGTTTCTGGGGCACGGCTGCGCTACAGGCTGCGGAGTACCAATTGCCGAGCGCGGATGGCAAGCCCTCATGGATCGAGGTGGCCAAGAACGTTTGGGCGAATCAGGCTTCGCCGGACCGATACGACGAGACGTGCGGGGGCGGGCTGCGTTGGCAGATTATCATGTCGAATGCTGGGTATAACTACAAGAATAGTAAGGATCTTCCCGTCGGCGATGTTGGCTTAGGATAGATGATACTAATGCGCCATTGTAGCCATGTCAAACGCGTGTTTCCTCAACATGGGCGCCCGTCTCGCGAGGTATACTGGCAACACGAGCTATGCGGAACACGCTGTGAAGGCGTGGGACTGGCTCGAAAGCGTTGGCTTCATTAACACCACAACTTGGGAGGTATACGACGGAGCCAACGTGGACGACAACTGTACCAGCCCTGCGAAGTACCAGTGGTCTCAGAACGCGGCTATTCTTACAGAGAGTGCCGCGTTCATGTACAACTTCGTAAGTTTGTCCTGCAAGGAGTTCCTTGTCTCTGGAATCATTCGAACTCAGGCTAACCTCTTTCTATAGACGAATGGCTCCGATGTTTGGCATGACCGCGCCAAAAAGCTTGCCGAGGCCAGCATCAAGACATTCTTCCCTAAGGGCATCGCCTATGAAGCCGCCTGCGAAGGTACTAAGGGCAGCTGTCCGACCGACGCCATGTTCATGAAGGGCTATGTCCATCGATGGCTCTCTGTCGCCACCCAGGTGGCCCCTTTCCTCTCAGGAAACGTGCTCACCGTCTTGAGGTCGTCGGCTCAGGCTGCAGCAAAGCAGTGTCAGGATAACTCCAAGGGCATGACGACCTGTGGTTTCTACTGGAGCGACGCCGAGCTCACCGACCCGCAGACTGTAGATAACAGAACGGGGGGCATCACTGGCGTCGGTGAAGGAACGAGCGTGCTGGGTGCGATTTCGGGTCTGCTCATCGGCGACGCCAAAGCGCCCGTGACTAATTGGATTGAGGGCAGTGGGGGCGCTTCCATGCCTGAACCCACTACTAGCACTGGGTCTGGAGGCACTCCCAGTGGAACGGGCGGCTCGCCGTCGCCGACGGAGTCGGATTCACTGGCTGGGCATTTTGGCACTGACGTTCGTATGTTGTTGTTTCCGGCTGTGCTTGGAGCTTGTCTCCTGGCTCTTTACTGAGACTTCATGACGTTACAGTCGAAAAGACATGATACGTCGACATGATTACCCAAGAGCCAATAATGAAGGATATGATGCTCTTGGATATGTTGAAAAACCAGTGATCCTAGTCTATAGCTGTAGTCAGATGGCATTGAAATGCTTTCATCAGCCTCATATCCTCTTATGACGCGTCACATGCCTTGCCATCGAGTGGCTGTTGTCAACTCGACTGAGTCTTTACCCCCCTCTCCACTTAATCTGTCATAACATAATGCATAATGTCGTCTTGCAAAGCCTTCACCATCGCGAACAATACTGAGAAAACTGTCTTGATAGCAGAGTCACCGACTGACACCATGTTCTAGGTAACCCTAAGAGACTGACGCGAATATCTTGAAGAACTATCCCCAAATCCTTTTCCTGCTCTTTAAGATACCTGATTACGGTAGCTAAACCCAGTCCGATCAATGTCTCATACATATCCTTTGAGTTGATGATATCCTATTGATCGTTCCATTCTCCCACGTAGTCGCTCGATGATATTTCTCGGAAACTATCGTATAAGAGTGGTAACCGGAAGGTTTGGTTAAGACGACGTCGAAGATAGCTTTGAACTCTGATATAAAGTGCCCGACTGGTTCGAAACGTCGACTATGCTAAACTAAAACGACTTCTAGTAGTTTTGTTATATGTGCATCTACATCTAGCGTAACCGATTGTTGATGGCGTTTCTGGCTGTCGGTCACGACTGCGGCTGGGTTGGTGGCCGTCGCCAGCCTTCGCGTAGTCCGCCACCCCTGGTCCAGGAGCCAGTCACCCGCGCGGGGTCTTGTCCCGATGTGGGCCGCTGACCTTGTTGCTGCTGTCTTCATGGCCACTTGGTCTCGGTCTTCTCATTGTGGACTTCCTTTCAATCAACAGAGCGGAGTGCACATGAGCTCAACATTTAGAGTACTGTTAACATTTATCATTGTTGTTGAATTTGCTCTATAGGTATTGGAGATCTTGGGGAGATTTCAGCAGCTTACTTTGTATCTCAACGAGCAAAGTCCGGAAGAGAGCAGCAGTATCTATTTTCTGGTGCTGTGCTCCTGGCTCAGTCCCCTGTTTTGAAATGATATCTTAATATTTCTGACTATGGAGGACCAGTTTCTGCTCCATGGATACATTTCTATCACGATAATAGACGCCTGGGCTTAGATTCTCTGTCATGAATCGCAGGAACCTCTACATCAGCCCATATGTGTTGGCTTGTGAGACCGCTAGGCTGGGCTGTCCTTTTCCTTGCCCTACCGCTTCTACGTCCTTTCGGCTTCACATTTACTTAATCCTTCTTTCTTCAGCCCATATTACACCACGCCTTGTCTCTAGTAATGAAAATAAATCAATTACCGCATCTAGGCTCGCTATTGCTATAGTCCTTTGTTCCTTAGGTATTGCAATCTTAATGGCGCTTTACTGTAGTATTAGGTTAACCTACTTACTTTAGCTACGCCCCTCCCCTATCTAGCCACCTTCCCTTTAGGAGGGCTAGCTATAGGAAGGCTTCGCTGAATGGGACTAAAAGCTCTCAAGGTTTACCTAGCCATGGCTTTTTGTCTAGAAGAATGCGCAGTTTTTCTGTAAACGGCGCTTGGTTTTCTCAAGTAAGTGGCTCCTCGCCTCGCTCAATCCGCCATCGATTCGTTGCCTCCAACGCCCTGGGCAAACCTCCGAATAGCCATCTCTATTTATCCAGAAACCCTTCCGTTATTTCCTAACCCGCAATGCTCCACGGCGGTAACTACGTAATAATACTGCGCCGCTAAATCTTATTATTAAGGAATCCCTTATATAACCCCCCGATGTAGTCGGCCTATAGCTCGTCCTTGTTAAAAGTGCCCGTAGCTAAAATGAGCTAGTTACGTCCCTTAGGACAGGGGAAGAGATCGATCTAGTTGCCATGCGGCACCGTCTGTTGAAGGACGGTGGGCAGGAACGCTAGTAGAAGGAGGCTAGTATTAGTAATAGGGGGTATAATATGGATAATCTCTTTATTATAATCGAGTAGTATTATGGGGATACTTGAGATAAGCGTGCGGTTGACGGCTAAGGTACGGAGAGCGTTGAATTGAAGGAAGGTGATGAGGTGGTCTGAGCTTAGTGGGAATAGAATTGGGAGTAAAGGTCGTCTTGTGCGGTGTAGCTGCATCATGCGGGAAGCTGGTACGGCGGACACGGCTTGTTGCTCATCATCCTAGCATTGCATAAGATCTTCTGATCCAACCCTTGTCTCGGGAGAGGTACCGAGTTCATCAGTCTTCTTAATGAGGGCTTTTCGCTTTCCTATGTAGGTAGTTGATAAGATGTTTTCTATGAACTTTCGATAACGAGACATTGTCTTCCTAAGTTCTGATCTGGATTAAATAGAGGAGTAGTTTAATATATACGGTATGCTCGGGTATTGAGCCTAGTCTGTGCTTTCCTACGTGCTGCGGCATCTTTGGTTCTAGTCCATTCGTCCTCTCGACTCATCGCTTTGAGCAAATCAGCAACCTAAGCTATGTCGTCTTTAAGGTCTGCTATCACCCATCGTTTAGACGTACCTCTGCCAATTGTGGTATGATGCCAAACTCGACCCAAGTCTCTGGAGCCGCAGGCTGGATACTGATCGCAATGACGCTAGATGGGTCCGATATCTTGACGTTGAGAAAGGCTGCTGATGTGTGATGCAGGTTATTGTTAGTCTGACGGTAATGCAGCCTGCTCATAGTCTGACATACTGTACTAGAGATAAGAGTGTTACCTGTCTTACCGGGGCGGTGCAGATGAAGGGCGATTAATGGAATGGGATGATCCCAGTGGTCGTCGCTGTGACGCCTAGCCTGAGTAGGTCAAGCTTCATGCAACCTGCTCACATTCCAAGCTAGGACTAGTCTCATGCAGCTGGCTCACCCTAACCCTAAGACCATTAAGGAATCCTTCCTTCGCAAAGTCCGGTGGAAGATTGAATCTTGTTGGCTCAAGGGGGTCTGCGACTTATATTAACTTATGGATACTCAGGTCAATGGCAAGGTAGAATTGCTCGTACCCGTGGTTAACAAGACTGGTATTAAGAGGCCACGGCATATCGTGTTCGGCAAAATAACAACCTTCTCATCATCACAACACTCATCATCAGATAAGAATAACGATTTTAAGCTGTTATACTATCGATCCACAGGTTCAGCGACGTCAGACTTTCTCCAAGCACTATTACAGAAGATAAGATTCCACCCCGACAGTCTCCCCGACCTCACTGGTCAAACATTTTTAGTTACGGGCGGGAATTCTGGCATGCCAGTCTTCCCCCACCTTTCTTCTTTCCCCTGTTCCTCTTTCCAAGGAGTAAACTGGCTAACTTACCAAAACACAGAGGCTACCAGACAGTCGCACGTCTGGCAGAACACGGTGCTCACGTTTACATATGTGCCCGCTCCCCAGACAAAGCAATAACTGCGATTACTAATATCAAAAAGATATATACCTCGGCTAACATCGACCTCTTATAGATGGATCTCATGGACCTTGCTAGCGTCATTACCGCCGCTAAACAGCTCTGCATAGTTTGGTCAACAACGCAGGCATTATAGCAACTCCGTTCGAATTAACCAATGACGGGTACGAGGCATAATAGTAGACTAATTACCTAGCGTACTAGATCTTAATAAACCACCTGCTTCCTCTTATACTACGGACCGCTAAGAAACTTCCTCCTAGTAATATTCGTATCGTCAACATCACTTCGTCGGGCCACTTGGGGGCGCCCCAGGGCGGCATTAACTTTAACGACCCGTCGCTCAAAGAAAGCGGCGGCCCATGGTCTCGATACGGGCAGAGCAAGTTAGCTAATATTCTACATACCATGGCGCTGCACCAAGAATATGGCCCCGACTCACAGCGCGCGCAGAATGGGGGCGGCGAGATATGGGTGTCGTCCGTTCACCCCGGCGTGGTCGACACGAACCTTTCCGGATCGGTAGGGTCGCCCGTAATGAGCTTCCTTTCCGTTATGCGCTGGTTCGGACTGATTTTGCCTGCGGATGAAGGATCGTGGAATACTTTGTTCTGTGCTGCGGGTTCGGATATGAAGGCAGAGTAGAGCGGTAGCTATATTGATATATTTTGGTAGTTCGGGGAGTCTTGGTGGTAGAGTAGTGCGGCAAAGGATGGACTGCTTGCGATGAAGTTGGAGGTGTGGACGAGAGCGATAATGGGAAAAGAGGGGTGGGCTGAGGGTGGAATGAAGTGATAGTTTGAACGCGTTTTTAGACGTCTTGCCTATGTTTTTGGCAATCAGTTTGCCTTGCTCAGGCCTGGCCGACTCGGCGCAGTAAGGCTTCAATATTTCTCTAGATCTTTGATTAGCTTTGAAGCTGCCTGGTATCTCACCGGCGCTCAGTATTCATTTGCCAAAACGCTTCTTAATACGTCTCGCCATACTCGCTTGTTACAAGTCTACTGTCCCTTGTCCTATAAGTCGTGACACAATATGTCTTGTATAGTATAAAGAGGATATTGAGGTCACGAGAGGGAAAGGAGTCTTATTCAAGAATTGCCAATGTCATTTGACCGCACGTTAATGAGCTATGGCTAATGTCTATCCTATAGACGTAGATACTATGTTACCTTAGCTATCTAGGGCGTCGTTTTCAGTCGAAAACCATACGCGGGAAACAAAACCAGTAATGAAAGTCTGATATATGTAGATCTTTATTTTATGACGCCCTGGGTAAACTATTTGGGCCGCACAAAATTTTTAAGGTAGGATTTACTTTTATTTCCACTCTTAGCCTCCTAGCTTACCAGCTTATCATATACGTTGATTTAGTTGAAAATTCAGACTTTAGGTCTCTTGTTATATATGACTCCTTTCCTGTAATTTCAGTACATTGATCGAAGCCGAAGATAGCCTTCTAGTAGGATTAATGTAGCTAAGGTAAGTACTGAATTATGAAAGATAATTAATGACCTAGCGTGACCCCTTCAACACTTAAAGGCCGTCTGGTGCTGTTAAGTCTTTTTTTACGTAAGCGCGGGACACGGCGTTAATCATAAGAGCAGAAGCCCCGTTTATCCTAACTCAGTTTCCTGCAACCTTTACTCATCATAGCAACCATGCCAAGGTCGCTTGCACGAAAGAACGATGGTAGGTTGTATATTACCAACGCTATGGGGCGACCCTGTGCCGCTGATATCGATGAGCCCCGTGTGACACGACTGATATGACTTCTTAGGATGCTACGAGTGCTGTAAAAGGCGGCTCCGATGCGATAAAACCGAACCAGAATGTCTCAAATGTCGAAAGAAGGGAATTCAATGCTCCGGGCAAGGCCTACGGTGTCGCTTTAGCAGCCACATGAACCCTCCGCAGTCACAAGAAGCGACATCACATCATTCACGACTCAGTTCCAGGCGACGAACCACACCTACCTCTTCATCGACTATCCAGGCGATGCCTCGCGAGCGACTTACTGATGACAAGACTTGCGACACATCTACTATAGACCTTCCTTGCGGTATAGCTTCCAGACAAATCGAACCAGAAAATACCGCACGAGTGATGCCATTACGGGCCGGATTAGATGCAAATAATATCTCTCCGCAAGCAAGGATGCTATTTGATCATTGCAGGTTATCCCTTTATCTTGCCTTGATACTTTTCGTCTAATTGATACTAGTCTGTTCACACATCGCGCCGATGATGGTAGTTCTCGATATCGCAGGCAATGGATACCGTGATATTATCCTTCCACTGGCTACGCAGGACGACGTCCTCGCCAGAGCGATCTCGGTAGTTGCAGCATTTCACCTTACCCGGAAAGCTCCGCATCTACGACAACCAGCTATTGCAGGACATCGTGCTATTCTCGAGAGGCTGCAGAGAGACTCATTGCATCTTCCTCCGGAGCGGATCTTCACCCCTTACACTTGGGCAACAATTATGGTGCTGCTGGTCGGAGAGACCATCACTGGAGCTGACAATTACCTTCACCTTCTTGAAGCGCTCACATGCTTACGACAATCTCCCGAAGCAGTGGACGCTTTGCCCTCTGCTTTGCGAAATTTCTTTTGTCAGCAAGTCAAAATGTAGGCAAGTGTTCACCTCTGGTCGCTGAATGGTGCTGACCATCTCGATTTAAGGTTCGAGCTGTTTGGCTTCCCACTATCAAGCGAGGAGAAAGGAGCCCTTGTCCTTCAACGAAAACCGGATTATTATATGGACTTCATGACGTATCCCACTCTTCCTTCGGCGTCCGAGCACTTGGCCAACTTACAGATCATGCGAGCAGCCATTTGCGACGCCTGCATGCTTTATCAGCAGCGGACTGCATCCTCATTAGCGACGCCAGATTTTACGTCGCACGTGGAGCGGCTTCGCCAGCGAGTTCTCCCTCTCGAAGCACACACTCCTGGCGCCCATGCACTCGTCTGGACCTACTTTGTGGCTGCGTCTGAGAGCATTTTGCCGGATCACCGAGTTTTCTTTTCTTCGAGACTAAGAGAGATTTATGACCTCACCGGTTTTGGCAGCATACCCGCCGCGCTGACAGCGTTGGAGACAATTTGGGCAATGCAAGGCATCAAACGGTGGACAGAGATCGCTTGCAAAGACTTGCCGGTATTAGTCATGTAACAGGTGACAGGTTCAATCTCGCAGTTTATGTTGTCTCTCTAGGTTTACGTTTGCAAGTTGCTTGAAAAGACTTCTCCTACACCGAAAGAATTGCCACTCTCTATTCTATGCCAGCTTTGACCTCATACGGACATGCTCTCCCCGCCCAAGATCATTCCTTACGGTCAAAGCCGCGCGAGTTCCCTCTTCAATAGCTCCGTCAATGAAGCTACGCCATCCCAAAGCCCAGTCTGAACTTGCAAAGAACACCTTGCCATGACAAGCTCTCATGTCATTCAGATGGTTGGACAAGAGACCTGGCCCAGGGAAGAACCTGGAATAAATATTAGCGCAAGTGCTGAATCAAATACGAAGAGTTCATAACCAACCAGGCGCCTTTTGCAAATTCGTCCTTGGACCAGTTGTGGAATACCTGTAGGGCTATCAGCCGACAGAGCTTGAAAGAGCGGGAGACGCTTAGCTTACAATTCTCTCGATGTTCATGGGAGTCAGCCCCTGAAGAGCCTTCTTCGTGGCCTCGATGTCTTCATCCGGCTCGAAATGGTTGTGCTGACCACCAAAAGCCACGATATGAGTATTCCCGGAAGGAGTCTCTCCGTCCCCTAGTGCATAGAAGAGTCCATTGTGCGGGTAGCTGATGCCTGTGTAAGACCTTAGGTCTCGGTCACGCACCTCAGCATGCACCTTGACGCACTGATTTACGTGCCCAATGCTGGCAGCAGCCTGTTTCCCCTGGGGTAGGGGCGGATCAAAGGTAACGTTGTTTAACACGTTCAGGGGGATGGCGCTGATCATCCTCCGCGCCTTGAATCTTTCGGCTTGTCTCGTGGTGACTTCAACTCCGGCAGTCGTGTTTCTCACTGTGGCGATTGGCGAGTTGAACGCGTAAGTGAGGTTGCCCGTGGCTAAGGCCTCCTGGAAGAATCGTATGGCGAAACTGGATTGGCCGCCGCGAAATTTGTACTTTACAAGATAATCAATGCATCCCTCGTATGAGTAGGCACACAAAGCCCACCAATGGAGAAATTCGAAGAAGCTCGTCGTTTCGAGAGTTCCTCCGCTGCAGAGCAGAACAAATGATTCCACTGCCAGACGCTCATTTGGCGTCAGGGAATCCTGAATTTCGGCTAGACGATCGGCAACCGACATGCTGTCCAGTTTTATTGCCTCAGAAGAGAACTTGCCGGTGTGGCTGAAAGGTATAACGTTCTTGCCGTACGCTCCGTCGACGTTCACGAGTTTGCGAAGGCCTGACTCAACAATTTTATCCTGGATACCGTCAGCACAGCGCCTCGCTCGTTGAGGCCATCCACGCACCTCTTCGTCGTGGGTGAATCGCTGAGTTGTTCTCCCATTGGAGATATGGTACTCATTGATCCCGCGGGAAAAGTCGTAAGACACCTCCAATTCGTCCTGCATCTGGTATCGCATTATCTCGCGCCACACATTCGGCTGTCCCCAGAAAACCCATGTCCCACCCATCTCAAATGGATAGCCTCCGATGTTAGATGACCATGACCGACCACCTATTCGATCGCGTCCCTCGAGGAGGAGTACCTTCAGGCCTGCGGCACGCATCATTTGTCAGTGGCGAAGGTCGTCAACGACGGGAGAAGTATTACCTGCAACAGCAGCATCTCTTGCAGCAGTAAGTCCGCAATATCCAGCGCCTGCAACAATCACGTCGTAAGTAACGTCGTGGGCAGAGGTCAGGTTGCTAGGAGGCTGAATGGCGCCAATACACGGTACTCCAGGCTTCAGACCATCCTCCTCGGTCCATGAAAAGCCATCTCTCGATGCCATGGCCCAAGATTTGACGATGATTGACTTTGAAGGGAAAGACTTTTGGAATTGAGAGAATTGACCAATTGATGAGAGGAGACCAACACACACGCACTCATGAGGTGGCAGAGCTTCCCGGCTTAAGTAAGTACTGGGCGAAATTGAGGCCCGACACCCACGGACTTAGCTACCCCGTCTCGCAAAATTGTCATCCACATCACGACTTGACTCACCAGGTGCCGCCCATCGGCGCGGGAATCTGGAACCTACGCCTCTTCGCTTGATGAGATAAAGTATTGCCTGAACCAGAGGGTTGATTGAGCGCTCGTGGCCCTACCCCTGGAAGCAGTCCCACCTTTATCAAAAAAAAGTCTCGAGAAATTCCCTATTTTGTCCTAGCCTTAGGATACCTTCTGCACCCCGCACTTTAGCTTTGTCCCGCCATGCAGAGTGCTCGCGAATTTCCTCAATCCGGCAATTTTCAGAGCAGTTCATGAAAGAGATAAGCGAAACCCAATTGGCTGGGAATCGCTTAGATTCAATCTTCGGTAACGCATGAGATAGCATTCGAGGCTTGTCACGAGTTTCACTCGTCCAAGCAGATAAGACATCGCCGCAGATTCGGATGAAGGATACCGTCATGTTGCCTGTCATGAAGGGTAGCTCGTTGTTCAGCTTGTGCGTGTTGAACGGCATGATACCTCGTTATCTGCCACCCAGTCTTCGCTGATGAACTACAAATGAGATGGGCAGCCCACTTGCGCTCTAGTATGAATTGCAAGTCCAGCCATAAGGTGGTCGGTTTTCAAGTCCACGACTCGAAACGACCGTACAACATTTCATTCACTCCAGCCGTGATGTCGCCTCCGAACAATGGCCACCTTCAGGCCCGCCTGTCTGGCCTCAACATGGTGGCAATGGCTTTTGCGATTCTGAAGTAAGCCCAGTCTCGTTCCCTCAAGGAGCATGTAGTTGACAGACGCACTTCAAAGTACTTGGATTGCTCTAGCAGGCTCAATCGGACTTGTGCTTCCGTCTGGCGGGTCTGTTTCACTTCTCTACGGCTTCGTCTTTTGTGTTTTATGCAACCTCGCCCTGACGGCGAGCCTCGGCGAGCTAGCTTCCATATGGCCTACAGCTGGTGGCCAGTACCACTTCGTCTATGCCCTTTGCACCGATAAGTGGAAACGAGTCATGGTAAATCGCTCTCTCCAGCCCATTTTGGTTGCTCGATGTACTGAAACTGGACATAGAGCTTTTGGGTCGGCTGGACAAACATTGTCGGATGGCTAGTCGTTGTGACTGTCCAAGGATTTTTCGCCGGTAAATATCGATCCTTCGCAGCCTGCAGTTGACTATAGCTTACGCCAATCCAGCTCAATTCGTGTGCGCCGCGTCTGTCGTCGCCTCTAATGGAAGATTTGTAGTCACGCAATGGAATACATATCTAATCTTTCTCGCCATTTTAACATTCGCCACTGTCGGTAACATTTGGGGCAATAGAATCCTGGGCAAATGGAATGACTTCGCTAGTAAGGAGACCCAAACCTCGAAGTTTCTGTTGCTTGTCAAGAGCTCACATCATGAAGTGTTCTGGTCGATTCTTGGTGTTATTATCATCAGCATCATTCTCTTGTCTCTCCACGACAAGACAAACGCAGACTACGTATTCACGTCCTTCAACAACGAGACAGGTTGGCCCGACAGCATTGCCTGGGTTCTCGGTCTTCTACAGTCCGCTCTTTCCCTCATTGGCTTCGACGTCATCCTCCATATGATGGAAGAGATGCCTAATCCATCCCGCGACGCCCCACGGGCCATGATTTACTCTATTGTTGTTGGAGGAGTGACGTCAGTATACCGCTCCCTTTGCCACCTACTAGCACACTTACATATCGAACAGTGGCTTTGCCTTCATTCTTGTTATGCTATTTTGCTTCACCGATCCAACGACGGTCCTTGCAACCAACACTGGCATGCCCATTGTGGAACTCATGCTACAAGCAACTCGAAATCCGGCCGCAACCTGTGTGATGACCATTATGCTTGCAGTCTGCTTCATCAATGGATGCACTGCCAGCACTACCAGCGCTAGTCGGCTTCTTTACTCCATGGCACGAGATAACGGTATCCTGTTCCCTAAATACTTTTCACACATTACTCCAGGCCACAATGTCCCTACTAACACCATACTAATGTGCTATGGCTTCAACATCCTGTTCGGAACGTTGTATCTGGGACCCACGGTTGCCTTTGGAGCATACATAGCGTCATGCACTATCTTTTTGAATGTTTCGTATGCATTTCCCATTATCGCCCTGCTTGTAAGGGGGCGAGATATTCTGTCGCAGCATCAAGTGCCGAATGCACCATTCAGGTTGGGGAGGTGTGGCTATGGTATCAACTTGATTGCTGCTTTATTTGTCTCTGTCACTTCAATCGTAAGCCCTTTTTGCTTTCGTCGACAAATGGAAATGCTAATAAATACCAGTTCTTTTGTTTCCCCGTCGCTCTGCCAGTCACCAGTGATAACATGAGTCATCTCACCCCTATCCCCAGGTAGATTGGTATGTACTAACAACATAGCAGATTACGTCTTAATCGTGGTCGCAATCTTCATAATCATTGTTGAGAGCTACTGGCTTGCATACGGGCATAGATTCCAAGTCGAGGTGAGCATCATTGTCTTCTTCTTCTCATTCTCACTATAAGGGAAAATCGGTGGCTGACCCTTAAATTATAGGGAATTCAGGTTATTCTTGGTCAGCACGAGAGTGTAACGGCCAACAATGCGTATGAGCTGGGCTTGGATTTTGGGACTACAGACCAAAAGACTTCGGAATGAGGGTTAGAATTAGACTTTGTCTATAACGAAATCATTCGGGAGGATTATGCTGAGCGGAATCTCTACTACACCTGACAGTAAACTGAATTACAATCTAGTTTTAGGATTAAAGGTCATGGCGTAAATTCTAAATGAATCTTCCCGTGTTATGCGTAGCTTTTTAAGGGGTTTTATCAATTCCATACTCATCTAACACTGTGTTTCTTATTCTCTTAATTACGAATTTGCTTTGAGTATCAAACTAGAGAAAAACTAGAGATTTGTACTGATGCCGACTCTAAAACAACGAGACATCTATCTCATTCCTCAAGTGCCCATTTATAAACTCTGTTTTATTGATTTCTTTCATTTAGGCCGAGTTGGAGCTATTATCCTTTTTCGACTCGCTGGCGACAGCAATAATTGCGGGTGGCTTGGGAACCTTTTGTCGGAAGACATGGCGCTTGAAGAAATAGGGAATAGAGTACTTGATCTCGTGGCTGATGAAGTGTTTTGTCGGAACGGAGAAGACCTCTGGTAGTGGGGGTTAGCACAGCGACGCAATTAAGGAAACAGTTCGACATACGGTCCAACTCTTCCAGAGTGAGTTGCTTAGTTTCTCGGACGAAACAGAAAATCATGCCCCAAGCAATTAGGTTGAGTCCAGCGTAGAAACCAACTATGCCAGCGAGGTTAGTTACAGGACAAGGATCAAAATTACCCGAAGATACTTACAAGCACCAGTTGGAGTCATGGCAGTGCTCATGCGCGGGAAGGTCAAGCTGAGAATACCAGCTGAGGAGCTTGTCAGTCAGATTTCCTCGATATAATGATTGCATGGCTTACCGAAGGTGTTGTTAATGCAGACAACCCAGGCCATTCCTTGCTCACGCTGGATGGTAGGGAAAACTTCGGCAGAGTACTGGAAGGCGACAGGGCCTTCACCCAGGGAGTAACAGATGGTGAAAAGGTAGATGAATCTGGTTGACAGGACTGTTAGTCTACCTTAGGTGAGGTATCCATACAAGTGGTACTACTCACAAAGCGACAGGTCCAATCTTTGGCCCACGGTCTTCCGTTGGGTTCAACAGAGACAAGCCAGCAGCCAGGAGGAAGATGCACATCAGAGGGAACGTCTGAGGCTGTTAGTTTGCATTCAGCAGATTTGGCTCATGTTAACTCACGATCATGCAGAGAGTCCTTCGGCCCTTGGTGTCAATGAGGAATAGGGTAGGGATCGTCGCAATCACTTGGATGGCGCCGTACCCCAAGGAAGCATACAGGGCCTCTACGGGCGTGTATCCTGCATCGACGAAAATTGTAGAGCTGTAGAAGGAAATGATGTTGATTCCGCACCTAGGTAATTGGGTCAGCATAACAAATTAAGGATGAAGATGAGGAGGATTCGCACATTTGCTGAGCAAGCATCACAGTGCTAGCACCGTAGTTGGCGCGCCTGATTCTAGGGATGGAAAAACAGTCCCATAGGCGACGGAAGTAACCAGCGCCACGAGCCTCCTTGAGCTCCTCCTCATATATAACCCACGAGTAGTAGAAATCTCTGGCCCCGATAATATTATGGGCTCGAAGTTTGCACATGGAGCGGAAAGCCTCGGCGTGTCGGCCGTGCTTCATGAGCCAACGCGGGGACTCGGGGCAGAAGAATATACCAATAGCCAAGATGAAGGATGGGATGAAGGCCGAGCCCAGCTGGAGTCGCCAGGAGATATCGCCGGTATCCTTGACAATGACATTTGCGCAGAAGCCCAGAAAGATGCCTGCGACGACCCAGAGTTGCCAAAACATGACGAGTGCGCCACGGACTCTGTGGGGAGCCATTTCAGCGGAGTAAATGGGCACAGTGGCGTTCTTTGCGCCGATGCCGATGCCCATCACGAAACGCGCTGCGAAGAGACCTTGCCATGTTTGCGCAAAACCGGAGCCGATCGGTGTAGCAGTAAGGCACAAAGCCGTGATGAAGATCTCGCCGCGTCGGCCAAAGTAGTGGTTGAGAGGATCGACAATGAAGGCGCCACTGCGTGCGGGGAGTTAGCAATTGCGATAGGACCCGGGGAATGATTGTCACCAACATCAGACCAGCCGTGAGAAAGATGATGGAATTAATCAGACCAATGAGCCACTCGTCTCTGGAGGACCCGCTGTTGATGCCAAGTGCCTCGTGGAATGTCAGGTTGGCACCGTTGGAACCAGTCTGATCCCAACCCTGCGTCGCGGCTCCGATGGCACAGAGGCCAATCGAATACCACAGCATCTTTGGGCCGTGCCATTTATGGTCCCGCTCATATTCGAGCGCCCGACGCTCGTCTTCGGAGAGGTCTGCAACGTCGTTGAAGTTGTTCATGTCGCGCGCGACCATCGCCGCGCGACCGAAGAGGGCGGCATGTTCACCCAGGTTGTGCGTCTCGGCGAACGCCACGGCATCTTCGACCGTTTGCTGTGGGGTTTTGCGCTGGGAGAAGAAGGCGTGTCAACGGTTTTGGGAGCGTTCCTCCTGAGCCTTGGCGCAAACAGGAACTCACCTTCAGCGGGTTCTCGACGATGTTGACGGCGGAGGCCTTTCCGCTACCAAGACCCTCGGCGAGCTCCGTCTGGGGCTTCAAATCGCCGCCTGTATCCTTCTCGAACGCATCGTCCGAGTGAGGGACGTGGTCGATTTCGTTGATTCCCATGGTGAGCTTGGCAGCGTTCAGATTAGCTTGGCGGGATCCAGAAATTGTGGCAGTTCACTGTGAAATGTGCGACTTGCGCCAATTGATCAACGATGAGCCAAGTAACAGTAGTAAAGCCAAGCAACGGGAACGACCATGGCCAAGTCTTATGTATTTCCGGCCAGACAGGCTGTCTCTGCAAGAAGGCGGCTCCATTAATCACACTTCCAAGTTCCAACACCCAAACCCCAGACGCTTCCAACTTCCCCGCTCTCCGCACTGGGGTAAGCATGAGGTGGGGATTCATCCATCAAAGGCACCCAAGCAACAACATCAGGAGATGATCATCCGTATCTACATAGTATGTAAGCCCCTCGTCTGACATTTCGGCGTGTCGGGGATATCGGTCCCAGTTGGACTCCGCCTTTTGTCAGTAAACTCGAGCTCTCGAGGCAGTTGGGAGCGCGTTCACGGGAGTTTGCAGGTTTTCATTGGAAGGTTTGAGATGAAAGAGTGGAAACCAGTGAAGCTAGTGTTGCCGATCATGTCTTGGCCTTCCCGCCTGCCTCCTGATTAGATGTACTCCTGGACTTAAACATGCGTCATAGGTTCAATCAACATGGGGTTTCACGCTCTGGGCTGGCAGGCACGCAAGCTGGTTCAACAACTCGTATCTCCAAGCAACAGTTCACCCCGAATCCAACGTTACTTACTTTGAGTGGGTAATCACCACTCCATTTTACCTACGTGGAGTCCAGAACTTTCCCCGCACGAAAGCCCGGTGTTACCATCGTTCTGAGCTTCGTTTGGGGTCTGAAAAGGACCTAGCGGATTTGAATCATTCAACAAGCCGAGGGCAATGATTCCAGCGCGGTCTAGTGTAGTCCTCATCCCCATCTCAGTCGACACAAATGAGGAGAGACGCTATTATATTACCCCGAGATTATCAGTCCATGTTACCCTAAGGACAGAAATAAATGGAAGTTAAAAAACCGTCCCAGCCATCATCGCTTGCTCATCCATCTGCCGCTACACATTCACCTTCCTCGTACTCCAGCTGCCGTCATGTCTCTCAGTACACGTGTCTTTGATCTACAGCTCGAGCAACACTGCTCTCGTTTAGTATATACCAGACTGCGACGCGAGGATCCTAGCGGTTTGAAGGCAACGCCGCAAACTAGACGCAACTTAGGTATAATCTTGATATTATAAAGCGGGGTGCTATTGAAATCTTATGTCGAATCTGCTCACTCAGTGTTGGCCCCATGCCCTACTGTTTTGCTGAGCGAAGGCGAGTCTGCCTTTACGCCTGCCAAAGCATGTGGGTACAGTGTCCGATCGGAGACCCCCTGGTCGAAGTCCGTCACCGTTGAAAAGGGTCTGCTATCGCCGGACTTGGCAAGGCTCGCGCACAATAACGACGCCGGATAAAAGGGCGAATCGGAATGCCACACAGCTGTCGGCACTCCTTGGGAAAGACTTCTCAATCCATGGCGAAGTCTACGGCGCGACTCTACATTACCGCTCTCGGTGAATATGAAGCAGGGCTCAAAGACCAGCGCATTGGGAATTATGCTCTCGCTCCCAGAACATCAGTACCTTATCTAAGGTCGAACACGCTAGGCAAAAGCGAAGGAATGATGACTGCAGGATTAGGGTGCTTGGCTTCGCTACTTACTTCTGCTCCACCGGATACCATGACGTCGTTCTTCTCGCACATTTGATTTTTGCAAAAGGACTGGCATGTCTTCAGCATGCTTGTGTATTGAGATGAAGTATTCCCTGCCACAGTATTAAATTTTTCAAAACACATCTTTCACTCGACTCTTGGAGCAGTTTTATTGGTCTCTCGATGGGGCAACAATACTCACACCCCCGGAAAGGCGCAAAGATGCAGGTCATCTGTGCAGGGCTGTCGCGTACTGGAACCAGCTCGATCAGCCGTGCCTTAGAGATGCTACTTGATGGGCCGGTCTTTCACGGCGGAACTCAGTTATGTCTCGGCCCTGAAGCGGAGATTAAATCATGGATGAAGGTGCTTTCAGAGTGGCCACCGACGAATGCGGCCATGGAGCAGGAAATCCTGAACACTATACGCGTTCGCACTGACGGCTATGTTGCTATCACTGACGCGCCTGGTTGCAACCTCGTCCAAGAGCTTGTGACACTATACCCAGACGCCAAAGTCGTCTGCACAGTCCGTGATGATGAGGCCTGGGAGAGGAGCATGGGAGGGTTGAATGACGAAGTGTCACCATCAGCTTTGCACTTCATACTCTTCATGCTTCCCACGATGCGACTCTTCCCAGCCTACGTTCAAATCCTGATCTCGCATTGGGTCAAACTATACGGAGAATCGAATCCACCAACGGTCAAAACATATCACCGCCATATCGCGTACCTGAAGAGTGTTGTTCCGCCGGAGCGGCTGATCTTTTACGACGTACGCGACGGGTGGAAGCCCTTGTGCAAGGCACTAGATCGCCCAGTACCCGAAGATGTACCATTCCCCAATATTAATGATGGCAAGGCTATCCAGACGTTCGCAATGAAGCAGATCAAGCGGGGTCTTGGGACATGGCTTTTGTGTTTAAGTATAATAGGAGTTGGTAGCTTCATGCTGTTCAAGGCTTGGGGCACTCTATTTTGAATTTGTTTATTTGTTGAGCGATATACTGGAAGTAAAGGAGTCTCAGAGTGTGGTTATGTGCTCTTATGGAAGAATTAACAGGAAGACAGAATGATTATATTTTTGCGTCTTAGCTAAATTTGTGAGCAAAAGAGTCACGCAAAGTGTTCTGCTCTCTATATATATGTATGTCTCTGCTACTTCCATGCTCCTAAATGACCCTTCCATTTCCGAAGCTTCTAGCCCTTGAAAGTCTTTCCAAACCTCCCACATGTCGGACGGCTTCAATTGAGTATCCTATCGAGTATGAAGTAGCTTCAGTGTATACGACTGTGAATTTCTTGGACGTCGATCCCATGTTGGTTTATTAACTATGTGTATCGGAGAAAACTGAGCGGTAGTAGTACGGAGTAATGAGGAATAGAACTCCACTAGCTGCTACTACCTGCTACTTCGCCCCTCAATATACAAACACCATTCCGCAGTCAATGGGATACCTCCGTAGTCATGATGATAGGAGATGTTATGCGTAAGCCATCGCTCGATCCATTATAAAGTCATAGTCCTGCGAAACCGACTTCTCATCGTTACACATGTATCCTGCTCTCCAGAGTTTCACTAGGATGCATCACTGCTTGTTCTGCGTACCACTTCCCAACATCTCACTCGACCTTACTCTTCACACGCACCTCTGCAGTACTCTGCGCCAGGTGGCAGAGGGCATCTTGCGCCTGTGGGCACAATTCCGCTCGCCCCATCAGAGACACCCTCTCCGTTGAAATAACACTTACCAAGATCCTTCTCACAGGGGTTCCCAGGTCCGGGACAACAGTAGCCGTAAGCATTGATATCAAAATTATAACAGGCTACAGGCTCGACGCTTGCGAGTTCGGAATTAGTTGTTGGCAAAGCGGGCGCAGCCGTCGTAGTGGAAGGCATGAGTGTTGTAGCAAATAATGTAGGCTCTGGGATGATCACTGCGATGGACGATTCTTTGTATACAGGCCCATTGCCGAACTCAAGACCACTCAGCAAGTCGGTAAGGAGAGTAGAGTTGGCGTCGTGAAGGTCGGATCTGTTGGTGCTTCTTTTCCAAGTATCTCCAAAAGCTAGTTTGTCTATCTGAAAGCCTCAAACATCAGAGCGAGCGTCTCTCTGCTACCTATAGAGCTCCTAACGATAAGCCTTTTAGGATGCAGAGGCATATCGGTAGAGGACCTTTTTTGGTACGATACGCCTAACTCTTCCGCATAGGATGGCACGATTAGCACCATCTCAGCTGACAGCTCAACTATTGTGCCTTTTGAGGTTCAATGAACTGTTATGCGAGCAATCTGGTAAAGATCTTGTCACTATGAGACATACCTCTGTATTGACTGAGCCCGGGAGGCTCAGAGTTCTGTCCGGAAAGGAGGCACGGGTATAATCCAAGGATTCCCAAGCTTCTGCAGTTCAAAGCATTAGATTCAGGTACCCTGGTAGTTACCACGGATAAAGATGTTATGCGAGTGGGGGCTACCATCAACCGGTATGCCCCAGTAACCCTCGTTGGAGAAGCCAACCTGGCCTGAGGCGCCACTTCCGACACTGACTTTCAGTGAATTCGAGACTCATGTTTTAATAGTACTCACATTCAAGGAAAGACGGTTGGAAGAACACTATGCGTATCACTGCAGATAACCATTTGTCCTGAAGGCAATCACTAGCAGCAGGCTACTCTTCAGATAAAATTCCCCTATGCTATATCGAAGGTGAGTACATAAGAGAAGAATTAAAGTACAGTTTGGCACTTGTTACTACCTTGTTACACGTTACGCGTGTCTTGAAGATATACAAATTTACGAGCCAAAGCTACAGCGATTCAACTTTCTCACTGAGTGAGCCAGGGGTTGGGATATCCCGGGTCTGTGATGTTGACCCCAATGATCGGGCTCAGCCAGCTATCATAGTCAGTTGAGCTGTTCATGTTACCTCCCCACTTTAATGCCCGAACCAAGATACGATAATCAGCATTCGGCAATTGGTAAATAGTTCCGTTGGCTAGTTCAACAACTCCCCAAGACCAATCAGTGCTATAAACGCTGTAGCCTCGGAAGTTGGTAGCAACTGTTCCATGAGGCACATCGCCACCCCACAATAAGCCAATGAGGCCATAACTCTTCAACCCTGCCACGTGGTCAAGGGTTTCCAGGTCCAGGGGAGGAGTAGTGACAGTCGTGTTGGTAAATACGGTAGCGTTCGTTTGGGGTCCCGGGAGATAGCCATATGTTGACGGCGTGAAGTTGTAAGTGGGGTTAGACGCGATGTCTGCAGGTACTGCGTCAAAGCGGACATACGCCGATGGTTGGTCAATGAAAATTGTGAGAACTGGGTCGTTGTCGGGAGTCTGTGTTTGGTTCTCGGCAACCTTCTTGGCGGGGAATGTGAAAATCGTCTTGTCGTTATTGCGAATTCCCGCGTCAGAAGAACTGATAAACGGCAGCAGAGGAACGCCAGAAGGGGGCACTGGGGAGACATCAAGATTCTTCAAGTCTCCTGTGTAGATATTGGAGAGTTCGCCGCGTGCATACGGGATTCCAAGATAAGGAATGGAAAAGTTCTCCTCTCCTTCGGTGACTGTGATGAGACCACTGTAAGTCGGCAGGAGGGAAACGTCGACAGTGGGAGGGGTAATTGTAAATTCTACAGTCGCCTTGCCGCCAGCTGGAACCGTAAGGGAGCTCGTTGTGAATGTCACTTCCGAGTAGACAGGATTGAAGTTGAGCGCCCAGTAGAACATGTCGTTGATGTCAAGACTGTTGCCATTTGGTAGTCCGTTGACTTCCGCTGCAGGCTTGTGACCCAGCGTGTAGGTCTTGGGGGAAGATGACAAGTTCTCGATTGTGAAATTCCGATCAAGGGGTCCAGCTGAGTCGCGAAGGTTGAACTCGGTTGCAGAGAAAATGGTTTCCGATGTGACTGCTCTCAGGACGTTGACTAATCCCGAGCCTTGTTGAGCGGTAGTGGTGAGAATGTCGGTCGCGTTGTATTGCTTTAGAGGAGTTGCGGACGATTGCAAACGTCTCGCGATCTCCTTCGGGCTCAAGTTAGGATATTTCTGCTTCACAAGAGCGTAGCAACCCGCAAGGCTTTGAAATGTTAGCTCAAAGCCACCTTCGCTTTGGAAACACGACTTACTGAGGGGTGGCCATCGATGTGCCCGAGATGACCGCATATCCCCACCCGTTAGATGTAACCCACGTGCTAAGAATCGTTCCTCCAGGTGCAGACACCTGAGGCTTGAGCGACATTTCCATCGTTGGCCCAAAGGTTGAGAACCATGAGGTAGTGCCTCCAGTTGGCTGATCAATCTGATGAACGGTTTGGTCTTCGAAAGTCAAAGTGAAGTTCTTGCCCTCTTTAGCAATACCGGCAAGAATTTTGCTTGCCTCAGACTTCTTGACCTTGACTGTATCAATGGCGCCATTCGCACCTGGCTCGTCGATGGACATGTCACTGGTATCAGGAAACCATGCCCAGACATTCGTGAAGCCAGATGAGTTGCTCCGTGCATCCAGGATATCGTAGTAACAGTCGCTTCTCGCGGTGACCAATGCGACCACACTGCCCTTGTCAGGGAAGCTGGCAATCGCGTCATCCCATGCTTGGTCCACGCACTCTCCATTATCGTCGTCCGCAACAAAGACATTGAAGTGTGCTGAAGCGTTGAGGGGAACAACACGACCGTACTCAATGGTGGAACCATCCGAACCAGCAGCGTTGTAAACCGTAGCAAAGTGGAAGTCGCTTACGGAGCCGACTGAGATTGCACTGGGGTCTTGTGCTGGTGCCGAGGAAACGTAGAGGCCAGTGTCGCCCTCGTTGCCGGCCGCAATGACGATTCCGATGCCCTGGGACTGGATCTTGGACAGAATCGGAATGTACGGTGAGCCACCCTCCCAAATAGCTGTCTCACCAATCGACATGCTGATGAGGTCAACCCCGTCGCTAGCAGCTCTCTCAAAGCCTTGCATGAGGATATCATCAGTGACACCTCCACTGCAGCCGAGAACGCGGTAGGCATAAAGAGATGCGTCAGGTGCAACACCAGAGATGCCAAATCCAACGCCCTGAGGGTCCTTGGCAGCGAGGATTCCTGTAATGACGAGTTAACACAAGCTAGAGCGAGGTTTCGGCTTCTCCTCAATATGACATACCAGCAACATGGGTACCGTGACCGCCCTCCAAGCAGGTAGTCAATGGGTCATCGTCCGGGACTGGATCATTCCAGCCAACAAAGTCATCACCCACAAAATCATAGCCTCCCGCTACCTTGAAGCCTTCGCCGTAGCCAGCGCCCAGGGCTGGGTGACGCCAATCAACACCAGTATCGAGGAAACCAATCTTGACGCCTTTTCCAGTCAGACCTTGGGCATGGACTTTGTCAGCGCCGGTCATCTTGAGACTGGAAAGGACGTCACTGGTGCCATTGATGGTGACAACCTGTGCAGCGGCTCTGAGCTGGACGGACTGCACTCCGATGGGAACAGAGGGGTTGACAGTCTTTGATCCCCGGCTAGAACCAACCGGTACGGGGCGGTCGTAATATTTGTTGGGCCAGACCTTCTTGACCTGGGGTAGAGCAAGCAAAGTGTCGACGTCGGTATCGTCCTTTGCATTGATTGACAAGCCATAGAAGTAGTCCGGATTTTTGAATTCGTGACGAACAGAGTAATCCAGGACGTCTTCGGCTCGGCGATGGAAAGCAGAGTGCGCATCTTCGCCGACCTCGCGGCCATTGATTGACGCATTCGGCTCAAGTTCGATGATGAAACCAGCGTTGACTGGTGGCTTTGCCTTGATAGCGGCTCCGGGGTGAAACGCCGCCAGACCAGGCGTGATCAGAGCCGTGGCAGCCACAAGAGTAAAAGAAAGGGCCTTCATGACGAAGCGTTGAAATGAGTGTAAATGAAAGGAGTGTAATGGACGCCGCGATGGCTATAATCTGCAAGGGATTTCAGTCTGAAGAGTGCATCACGACACATTTTAAGTACTGAGGACGTTTATCACCAGACAGGATAATGTCTCGTGTGAGAATAAACCATGATGAGTTTTGAAGACGTGCTTCACGATAAGGATTGCGATACGAACTGATCACCACCAAGAGCACTTTCAGAAGTTCCTGTGTCCCAATTTTGAGATGCAGATAGCCAGCTGCCTAGGTAGCATTGGGTAGGTGTTGTCGGTTCCCGATCTGTCGGCAATCTCTGCTATTTGAGGCTCGAAAGCTTGATTAAGCCTGCTGGTGTTACTACAGCGTAGATATCTTAAGGGTCGATTAACCCCTCCAATCGGCATTGAGTAACAATATTCTCGTATGGTCGGGATACAGAGAGGGGCCGGAGGGCGGAGGGTCCATCCTCGCATCCAGGCGCAGAATAGGAAGGTCGTGTTGTGGAGATTCGTGATCTAATTACAGGGAGTTATTGCCAAACCTTATTGCGGATGTCGCTGGATTCCTCGGCCTCCGATATCGTCAAGAGGGCACTTATTATTTTCCTCAAACACTTTCTGGGTACAAACTGTGCTTCAAATGCTCAAAGTGAGTGATTTGGTACAAAATTCCTGTACCAAAGTTTAAGAACCATCTCACTCGTTGGAATAAGATAGAGCTAGTTACACAGCTTTATCTTGAGCATGTATGCGACCCGGGCTTCATACTTTACTCTACATCCTGCCAAGCATAGTTGCGCCCGGCTTAGACTTGATGAAACTTACCTTTTCAATTGCTTCTGGTTGAATGGTGTGAATCTACAAACTGGAAATCGACCAGGTGTTAACTAATGGGGTGGGATTTCAACATGTCTGATCCGTTACAGAGTAAGGTATCTTACGGTTTGGGGGGGCTCTTGGGACCAAGACCTCGCGATGAGCGCAAGGGCCATCAGCTCAACCATCTCTCCCAACGACTCGTACGGGCAGCCAGAGGTCAAATTTGCTATGGTGAACAGACCATCAAGCATTGTATTGTATGAACTGCCACCAGATCATCTTGTCATTGCTATGGGTGTTGGTCAATAGACCATGTAGGGACTCCGTACGCTCGAAGGCTCTTCGGATAGGCAGTCTACGATGCGTGTGATCCAGCTGGTGTCTCATGTGGGTCGTCCAGCACGTGCCGTCGCTGTTGCCTGTCGCGTGCTTACTATTCCAACCTCCGCCTGGCCTCAGCACAGCCCATTTCGAATCGTAGACAACTTCATATCCAATCCGCTCTCTCAAACCACGGTGCCCTACCTCGGGTGACTGCGTGTAGGAGGATTGAAACCTCACTTACTCCGTACTCAAGAGGTCACTCTACCCATGCACTTCATCGCCGCCTGAGCGCAACCTCCGGTCACCCTGGCCTGTGTAGAGCCTCCTGACTCATGGCTAATTCTGCCCCTCTCGCACAACCTGTGGAGAACCGGTCACGGAGTGGGATCCGGCCAAAAAGAAGGCAGGTCGGCAGAGCGTGCGATGCCTGTCGTTTGCGTCGCATCAAATGCGACGATGCGTCTCCTTGTGCCAACTGCAGGGGTCGGGGCCAGCAGTGCAGCAATACGGAAGCAACCCGAACTTCGACTCTCTCTCAGGCCCATGAAGAGATAGACCGACTAAGGCTGAAAGTTTTGGACCTCGAACGAGAGCTTCAGCGACACCGAGGGGCGCATACCAATCCTGGAACTTCATTTTCTGTACATTCGCAACAAGTAGTCGCCAACGTGGAAGCAACGGCAGCCAGTAACATCGAAGGCCACTTTGTCACGCCAAGAAATAAGCCTTGGGATGGTGCTCTGCTCCGACCCGCACGATCACCTCATGTCGCATGGTTTGGACCTTCGTCTCTTTACTTTTTCATCCATCGCCTTGGCGTGTTCCTCAGTACCGATGTAGAACATGCTCAGCCAGACCACATGCTTCTCCGATCAACGAGCGGTAGCGCCGTGCCCGCCCAGGAAAGGACTACGTCAGAAGACGCATCTCATTTGCTGAGGCCACTTTTTAACGGCAATAAACCCGGGGTCTATCTGAATCCAATTCAAGAAGAGTACTTCGTCAATCTATTTTGGCAATCATACCACACCTCTTTGTACGCCATTATTGACGAGGCCGAGTTCAAAAAAGAGTATCAAGCCCTCTATCTGGATGTGCCCTCTGGCTATACTCGCAAGCCTTCAGCGCTGGTCGACATTGTTGTTGCCATGTGCATGCAGTACATGGCCTCAAGTCTGCCGTCTAGCCATCAAGGAAACATCGTCGAAGGAAACGATGCTACAACTGCCGGCCGGTGGCACTACCGAAGAGCACAGACTTTACTAGCCGGGGAAATGGAAAGCCCTTCTATCTCCACGCTACAGTGCCATCTCCTTTCAGCTGTCTATGTCTGTGGTGCGTCGTTCCATAATATGGCAGATAGCATTTGTGGTCAAGCTGTACGCATAGCCTATATGCTGGGTCTGCATATCGATCCTCCACTTGATACACCTGAGAAAGAACGTCAAGTAAGACGTCGACTTTGGTGGGCTGTCTATGTCTTGGACAGCAAAGTCGGGATGAAGCTGGGACGCCCCTTCTTACTACATGGTTCATTTTCCATGCCGCCTTTCCCAGATGATCAGCTTGGCGCTTCCATGTTATCAGGATCTACATTCGCTCCAATTTCAGGGGACGCTACCTGGCTGAGCTTTAGTCTTCATCACCTCAAATTATTCAAAACAATGAGAGATGCTCATACTACATTATACAGTCACGACGTTGGGCTTGGACAACACAAGACTATATGGGATGATCCCACATCCTTGGCCAAGGTAGCCGAAAGTCTAGAAGCTCATACCGTCATGATAGAGAGATGGGTGCAAAACTTGCCTGGTGCGCTCAAAAACAGCCGAGTAAACAATGGCCGCATTCTCTCAACCGACGGCTCGGCTCTCGTTATTGAGCAGTATGCCCCACTCTGGCTCCAAAGACAACGCCTTCTCCTGGAAATGGAATATCACCACATGTCTGTCAACCTTTACCGACCCTTCATTTCATTCAAAAAAGTTCCGGCGCCCGGAAGTCGTCTTGAGACGCTCGCAATAGAAAGTATCAACCATGCGATAGAGCTATCGAAAATTACTCAGCAAGCGCTTTCGTCCACGGCTATACTCGATGGATGGCATGAAGCGTTCCAGTGGCAATGGAATTCTGCCATCACATTAGCAGGATTTATCTTGGCCAATCCGCGTCATTCTGCAGTCGTAGCCGCAAGAAGTGCCATGGATTCATCCTTGTCAGTTTTTGGTACATTTGGCCAGAGTTTCGAGCTGGCAAAGAATGCTGAAACTGTTGTCCGAATGCTGTGTACGAAGATCGATGGCTTGATATCGACTTCTTCCCAGGACCATGGTCAGAAGGAGCCAGCTGCATTACCTACGCTGGGTATCGACCAGGAAGTGGAGGTAGCTAATGGCTTTGCTTCTGAATCGGTCTATACATCAACCTCCCCTGAGCTTTTGACTCAATTTCTGGACTTCGATTTCACGGAAATGGCGGTTGGCGTAGATTTCTGGGCCAATATCGACATGCTGGGTGTCGGCGATATTAGCACATTTGGCGAGTCCTCTGTCTTTTGACAGAGATAATAATATTGGGTATGTTCCAATACTTTGACACACGTCTAAACAGCCAGCAACGTGATCGTTAATGCAATTGCTTCGAGCAAGCAATAGTGAGAGGTGTCGTTTGTTTTCGAGCTGATCGCGTGAATAGTGAATCAATGAATTGCAAAACAGTAATCGTAAGCATTCATGATGCATTCCACCAATCGGAGCATGTCCTGCCTCTGCTTACTCTGGTCCTTTCCTAACCACTAGGAGTTGCTCCTACACTGCGAACCAACGATCCAATCGAAAGAACTCCTTTTGCGAACGACTAAGCGAGCCTCGATCCTTTACAGACAATAGCGCGAACTTGGTATAAATACGTCCGTTCGATTCACCAACTCTACTTTTTGAATTATCCCAAATCAGACTTCTTTCGCAACTTGATACTTACAGTCAGATCTCAATAATCAAGCTACCCTATTGTCACTCTTCGTCTAGCAAGGCACTTTGTTCCAAAAGCCACTATGTCTTTGCCGCGCCGAGCTCTGATCAGCATAACTTCTGCTCATGGCACCCTATTCGAGGGGAAGGAGACCACCGGCCTCTTCATCAGCGAAGCGTTGCATCCTTACAGCGTTTTAAGGGCAGCTGGTTTTGAGGTTGATCTCGCTTCCGAGACTGGTACATATACCCCTGACTGGCTTTCGACACAGCCAGATTTCCTCAACGGCGAAGACTTGGACATTTGGAATAATGCCAAGAGCGATTTCCGCATGAAGCTCGACAACATGACAAAAGCCGCTGACCTCGATGGTAACGCATACGGGCTTTTCTACGCGTCTGCCGGCCATGCCGCCCTCATCGATTATCCCACGGCCTCTTCTCTTCAGCGAATCGCAGCGCAAGTCTGGGCGAATGGAGGGGTGGTCTCTTCTGTCTGCCACGGACCAGCACTTTTCGCCAATCTGATCGACCATAGCACCAATGAGCCCTTGATCAAGAACAAGAGAATCACCGGCTTTACTACGGAAGCCGAGTCCTCCATGGGGATCATGGATGAACTCAGAAGCTGGGGTGCTGAGATGGTGGAGGAAACGGCAATTCGACTCGGGGCGACATGTGAGCTTTTCACTCTTTCCTCCATCCATGGCCCAACCATTGCTTGGTGTGTGAGTTCTTCGGATCTAACATTGAAAACAGATGTGCGTGCCCCTGGTATCTGGGACGACTTTCATGTAGTTGATGGTCGCCTAGTGACAGGCCAGAACCCAGCCAGTGCTACATCCACTGCTCAAGCTGCCGTTGAGGCTTTCGACAGCGCTTGAAACATGGTATTTCAAGATGATATGAGAACTCCTGGTGTAGAGAGAAGATATGCTTATGGGTATGATTCAATGGATTGGATAGATTGACAGGATTATAAATTTTCTTGGTGATGGAATCGTTTTCCGAGCACTTTCTTAACTGAGGCCTCTGTGTAGCTTGTTGATGTTGTCAACCCTTTCACGACGGACGCATGAAAGGACGTGAAATTCAAATATCATGCATAAAGAGATGTGACCGACAAACTCATATGATCATTCAGAGCCTGTGCAGCGCAGCCTCAACAGCCGGAGCAAGTCTTTTTTCGAGGTGATTTCAGATTGATTGCTAGGTTGAACGACCTCACGTTCTTTAGTCATGGCAGCAAAATATTAAGCTCAGAAGGCGGTGGACTGTTGGGAAGAAATTCGAAGAGTGAAAGCAAGTAACAAGCCAACTCGTCCTGCTTTTGGTGCACGAAAGCCACGTTGCTACCCATAAATGCGGAACTGACGCCATTCTTGGTCTCCGATGAAAAGGGCTATCTCCGATGACTAAGAGCGGGATGACAAATTAGGAAGAACCACTTAAATGTGTCATTATCAGCGGCACGGGAGATCGGGTTGTCCCGGAATCACGGAGCTGCTGCACGCTTTGTAAGGCGCCAAGCCGGAGTTGCGGAGTTGCCCACAACATCACGAATCAGTCCTCCGGCTGACTCGCCGATTGATGTGTGGGCCTTCTCAAAAACAAGGAAACAACTAGAATAGCAGATAGTATTTAATGACGAAAGAAACCTCAGACTGACTTGGTGAAATAGAGACAACTCGCACTGGTTTTTTTGTTTTTCAACAGCGACTTGCATAGATTCTCCTCGTTATCCGTCAACATATCCCGCTTCAAGTCGACATACCAGCATCGTCAATCACACAGCATCATAAATCATCAACTCAACATGGCATCGCCTAACATTACGGAAAGCAAGCTCTTCAAGCCTTTGAAGCTTGGCAATACACAGCTTGAGCATCGGATTGCTCTGGCACCGTTGACCCGATACCGAAACGATGCAAACCACGTGGCGAAACCTTTTGTTCCTCGATACTACAGTGACAGAGCCTCAACTCCGGGCACTTTGATTATCTCAGAGGCCACTGGCACTTCAATGCCAGAAACTGGAGTACCGCACGGCCCAGCCTTTGTCACAGACGAGCAAGTTGCTGCTTGGGAAAAGGTCATTGCTGCAGTTCACGAGAAGAAAGGTGTCTGGTTTCAGCAAATCTGGGCTCAAGGACGAGCTGCAGACCCCGACTACCAGAAGCAGCGCGGCTACAAGTTCCGTTCCTCGAGTGCTGTGCCAATGGAGCCTGGCGCAGCTGTTCCTGAGGAAATGACTGAAGAAGAGATTCTACAAGTAATCCAAGACTTTGCGGACACCGCCAAGAGAGTTGTTGCTGCAGGCGGCGATGGTGTTGAAATTCATGGAGCCCACGGTTACCTACTGGACCAGTTCCTCTCAGACTCCGTCAACAAGCGTACAGACAAATGGGGAGGCTCTATTGAAAACCGGGCTCGGCTTCTTCTTGAAGTCATCAAGGCAGTGGTTGAGGTCATCGGCGCTGAAAAAGTGGCGCTTCGACTCTCTCCGTATGCATCGTTCCAAGGGGCAGAGTCGTCTGATATCCACGGACAGTATACATATATTGTCAAGGAACTGAAGAAGATGAACGTTCCCTTCGCCTATTTGTCGCTTGTTGAGGCTCGAGGCGACCCGGCCAAGCTTTTGAACACTACGCACGATCCCAAGATTGCTCAACAGACACTCGACTTTATCCTCGATATATGGGATAACTTGTCCCCCGTTGTTGTGGCTGGTGGTTATAGTCCCGAAAGCGCTGCCCAGGCACTTGATGGGCACTACGCAAAGTGGGATGTCATCGTTGCATTTGGAAGAAGCTTTATTGCAAACCCCGACCTTGTCTGGCGTTTCAAGCACGGCGTTCCACTCACAAAGTACCATCGATTCTCGTTCTACATCAGGGGATCGGAGATTGGGTACAACGATTACACATTTAGCCAGGAGTACATTGACGCACAGCGCGAATGGGCTTTGACGCATTTGGCTTCAAACTCGAAGTAGTACTAGAATCGTTACTTTGATTTGCATTTTCTGGGTAGAAAAGCATTAGAATTTAGAGCAATATCCATGTCGTTTTCGCCAATAGAAACATTCTGTTTTTTAATCATGATATTCCCATATCATGATACCAATATCAAGCTCTTTTCCTAGCCCCGTGCAACTTTGTGATTTACACCTAACCTGGTATGTTGCGTCTGGATCTCTCGAAACAATACTTCAAGCTTCACGGCTCCAGTATGCTCGGTGTGTATATCGCCAGAGTCATCGACCTGATTCGTTGCAAACATATTCCTTTGGAGGCGTAAATCATGAATAGCGAGCTGAAAGGTGCAGACTGGAGGAGAAGACATGGGCATGGTCATCACTGGTTTCGAGATATATGGTCAAGCACTTAGTTGACAACCTGCTTGATGTACGGTACTCATGAGCTTGAAGATCTAGATGCCAAGCAGCCAATAAGCCCAACCGCCTTTTAATTGCCTTCTTCTATCGCGAATGCGGGGCATCCCTGGAAGTGAACGACTAACGGAAGATTGATGCGAAATTATCAAATCAATCTCAGTCAAGAAGAGGCTTTGTATAAATGACCCAAAGCTTCTCAAGATGGTTCTCAGACTGATTCTGCGTTCTAAAAAGTAGATACGTAGCTGCTTATTTAAATGACAAATTTCACCCAAAGTGCGATTGCCTGAGTTCACTTGGCAAAAGACTGAACGCGAAGACGAAGCTCAAGTCCCATTTCGAGGACACTGAGCAGCGGAGTCAACCGTGGACCAATCAGATCACAAAGAAACACGGCCAAACCCGCCCGGCATTTTTACTCATGGGCCCGAGCAATCTAGCCAATTTTAGTCCAGATGCCAAGATTGACTTGTCTCAATGATTCCAGCAGCAATGAACATGAGCGCAAGACATTGCAATCTGGTGTCCTCTCGCACAATTCGGGGGTCGAAAATGTCCGTATTAAGGGAATTCTGGCCGGTGGGATTGACTTCTCGGTCAAGAAATGGCCTAATCGCCGATTGGGATGCATCTTTTTCCATAGCGTGTCAGCGCCATCGCGCGGCTTCGTGGATCTATGACGAAAGCATAGCTTAAGCTTACCAGATGAGGCTCCTTGCTTGGAGAAGAAAACATCTAGTGGTCTCCACTTGGCCGATATCTAACACCAGTGTCGCGCTGACGCGACCGACGTGGTCTGCGAGTACTTGGTTATACGTCGTCATAGATCTCAACTAGATCAACGGTCGGCGGAAACAGGTGACCGACGCCGTTAGTTCACTACAGTTGGAATCGGATTTTGTTGCTCGCGTCTACCCCCTGAAGATGCAGTCGATATTCTGGAACCGGCCTAGTGTCGACTGGCGTTTTGTTGGCATGTGGTTTCAACGAAAAGCAACAATCCATCGACTCACTGAGACAATATTATTTACTTACGGGTTCCCGTCAACAACGTGCTCTTCGCTGGGCCTTCTGCATCCGTGATGTGCACTGCAGTTGCTTGATCGCCATCACCACGTTGCAGGAAACCATAGTGGTGTATCAACTCCAATCTGCTTTTGGGAAAACATTGAAAGCCATAATGGATGAG